TATATACAGAGAGAGAGAGAGAAATAGAGAGAGAGTTAGAGAGAGGGGACAAAAGAGAAAGACAGACGTGCGTTTGAATTCTTTTTGACATATACATGTAATAGCGTAAAAAGAATTAAAGACAGCAGATTTCTGTAAGATCAAAGGCTGCACTCTACACGAGATTACATCAGATCGGCGGGCTGCTCACAAACGTCAGTGCGTCTCAATGCAACTTCCACACAATCATTATAGGACGTTATAGAGGTCAAAATCTGCTTTTTGTATCGAGCTTTTTTTCAGTTCGTATTTTATTCCCATTTTTGTTTCTTTCAGAGATGTTTTCCACGTTTTGTGGATCAATGCTGGGTTGATTTATTTCCTTAAAATATTCAAATAGCGAAAATTATATCAATTTCAGTTTTAGGCACTACGCCGTCGCTCGCAAATGACCTGAGTTCGATTCCAGTGTGCAGAGAATGATGTATTATCGAATCGTATCTCTGTCTCTCAGAATGTCTTTCTCCTGCGATGTTGTATCTTTCACAGTCAGTGTTGGCCCCTGCGAGGCTGGATCAAAGCTCGTTTCTTACATGACCTAAAGATGTGTCGATAAGAATGCAAAATATTTACATTGAAAAATCGTACAATTTAACTCTACATTTTCAAGTAAAGCGGCCAGCGCATTATTCCTTTTACCGATTTTATTGTGGCGAATAATTTGACTAGATTTTTGTTCCTTTCTTTTTCAGTCTTAATGTCAAATGGTTTTGTTAAAGTAAGTGAACAAAAATAATTGAGAGGTCCCCTTTATCTGGAGACCGTACTAAAAATCTATCGTGCCGTCAATATGAGTTATTTCTCCCAACCCACGCATGGATATATGATTGACCAAAGATCAACAGAGGGGGCAGATTTGTAGATTTTCAACTGATACCACTTTCCTCAAATAAAGATTTAGCATGTCTCTTATCAATCCTTACTAATAAATTATGCAATCAGACTATAAAGCTGATATATGCAATTCGTCAACGGGGCAAAAACCTCAAAAGTAGCTCACTTCGTCGGCACACCTCGCAAACTGAAAGGTAGTAAACATTGGGCAAATCTGGCGCTTGCAACATAAAAGTAAAGACTTAGCGCCCGGGTGTTTAATAGTTGATTATGTCCATTTTTGAAGTAAATCAAGTTTAAGTTCAGAAACGGCTTTATTGCTTTCCTTTTATTTTATCCCCACCCCGTCCACTTTCCCCTTTTTGCTAATAAAGTTAACATATTGAAGTAATATTATCACTGAAATTTCTCTAACGCTTATGATAAGTCTAAAATTCTAGATTTATTTCATTAAAACTTCCTCTTGACTGATGAAATTGCAGTTTTTTAAACTGGAAAATCATGTATAAACAATTCAAACGTAGCATTACTTCAAAGACATGCGTACAGCCTCAGTTAAATCTATAACAGGGTGGTGTGTTGTCAATCATATACAATACATTTTGAAATATTATCTTTTTTTAAAACTCGAAAACATCTTAATGAAAGAACAGGGTTTACCATATATATTTCAATACCAAACCTGCACTAGGGAATAACATTATGTACTAATCAGAAAAATCACATTTTTCAGAGTTGGAGCTAAAATGTTATCAATATTGGATGGACTCCAAGGTCTCAAAGTCTTGTTAATTCACAGTTCAAATTTGGAGAACAAGGGGAAAAACGTGGGGTCGATGGTATCTCATTTAGATAAAAGACAGAACTTGACAGAGAGGGGATGGAAGAGTAAAAAGAAAGAGAGAGAGAGAGAGAGAGAGAGAGAGAGAGAGAGAGAGAGAGAGAGAAAGAAAGAGAGAGAGAGAGAGACAGAACATGAGTATGTGTGTGTGTCTGTGAGTGTGTGTGTGTGTG